GAGATAAAAGGCGTATATATGAATTTGTGTGCAAATATGAGTTACGTTTCATCATTATTACCCGAAGTTAGGGCGACTAGGCTATAGCCAACCATGCTGGCTCATTGCGGGTTGGTTGACACATGTATATATGAAATTCGAATATTGAAAATCACATTGGTACATGACGGGATTTGAACCCAAGACCCAAGAAGATAACAAGTCAAGTGCTTAAACCCCTGAGCCACTGACGCCCAAAAACAGCTTCAATTAAGCATTATGGACTCTAGCTACAACGGTATAAAAGTCATATTGTTGCCCACCAAAGAGCTTGGAGTCTCCTCCTGTACTGCATCTTTCTTCTAACAAAGATTCATTGTTTTGATAGGTTATAACAAATGTTTTTTCTTTTTATACAAAAAGGTGGCAAACAAGCAAGCGGCCACCTAAATCCGCCAAAATGGCGAAACGACCGCTGCCCATAGACATCCGCAATTGCAGATGCGTTGCCTGCCCGTATCCGACAGAGGAGGAGTCGCACATAAAGAGGATATTTCCCCTTCCTATGCTTCTCCTCCACCGTCAAATCCATTTCCCCTTCCCATCCTCTCCTTATAAGAAAAGGATGGTAAAGAGAAAGGGACTTAAATTAGGCCTCCGGCACCACACTCATCAGACGAAACGCGGAATTGCTAAGATGTTAAAGCGGGCTCTACCACTGTTAAATTAGAAATGGCATTCGCGTAAACTACGTCTTGTATTATGATTTTTAATTAATAGTAAACATAATGAGTTCACTTCATTACAAATGGATTTTTCCTTGATAGCTGGCAAAGATTATTCAATTACCACTTGTTTATTAACGTGGTATGAATTCACAATTTCATTCCATGCTAAACAATAAATCATACTTCATACTAATATTATAAATGCGAAAGTTTAGATGGATGGATGTTTGTTAGAGTTTGTAGTCTAAACGGTTTACGATGAAATTTGGTATAGATGTGAAATAGTCTGGAAGGAACATATCGGCTTACTTTTGTTTTTTTTAATCCTATCCGAACGGAGTCGCAGGCGAAAACTAGTAAATAAATAAATGCTTCATTATTCCACATCCAGACATCTTATGAGATGAGAGAGAATATTATTAGTTAATAGTAAAACAAGTACCTTTATTGGAATAAGTCTTGAATGTTTTTATGTTCTTTGTTTCCGTTTTACATTTAACTGCCTGATTGAGCGTCGGTGGCGCAGTGGTTTAGGCACTTGACTTGTAATCTACAGGTCTTGGGATCAAAACCCGCCATGTACCAATGTGATTTTCGATTTTTCGAATTTTCACATGTACATAATCTACCCGACGTTCTTACGGTGAAGGAAAACATCGTGATGCAACCTACACATATGCGTGATGAAATTCCAACATATATGTGAAGTCAATCAACCCGCACTGGGCCAGCGTGGTTGACTATGGCCTAGTCACCCTAGTTTTGGGTAGGCTCCGAGCCCCTCGGTGGGGACATATAGTGAGCTGGTGATAAACATTTCATGAGAGCCTTAGCTCCTGCACTAGGTTCCCCTGTGCTGCAGGAGACAAATTGTAGTTAATAGTAAAACGAGTATCTTTACTGGAATAAGTCTAGAGTGTTTTTATGTACTTTGTTTCCGTTTTATATTTAACTGCCTGATGATAACAATGTATATTTTGTACATATGTACATCCTCCAGTTCCACAATTGATTGTAAATCTGGAATATTTCCGTTCAGATGTTTTCAAACATTGTATTATATAATACTGATTGCAGAATGTTGAACAATACGTACAGTTGCGGATATCTGCAGTGTACTTAGTTTATATCAACACTAGCTGTTTCCATGCGACTTCATCCGCATGAAATTATAAAAAAAATCTTTTCATTGTTCACATTTGTCAAATTATCAATTGCAAATGTCAAAGTGACATGACATGTCGAACCATGGCAACCTTGCTTCCTTGATGTTGTCAACAACTTATGGTCTCTTTTCCACATTAGGGTTATTATCCAAAATATTTACCCCTAGTTTAACGGCGTGAAAATATATAGCCTAAAGCGTGACGTATGTGTAGGGATTTTTATTAAAAAGAGAGTTATTCGAAAATATGCTGTGATTGCTGACATCTTAGGCAACAAAGAAGTGTGTGTTTACGCTTTATTATATTAGTACAGATTTAGAAAAAATGACTTGTTGACATGAGACAAACTCCGACTCTCCTACAAATAATTAAATAGCAGTGAGTGGTGCATACGAAAATACATAAAAGAATATAGCCGTGTATCATAAACCAGAAATTTTTAAGAATGAATGTGTATTGCTACAAAGGAAGAGACCAAACAAAGACTGTAGAAAGTATGGATGGATTGTGTAAAATATGCTTAAGAAGGGATTGGATTGAGATATGACGGCTGATAGTAATGTAGGAGAGTAGCACATATTGTCCCGACCCTCCGTAAGGGATAAGGGCAAGTTGATGATGAGCTGTGTACCACTAACCGTCTTTTTTTCGTACAGATACTTGTATAAACTGCGTTGTATTGGTTTTTGTTTCGCCTCTCGTTTCAAAATGTTCAAACGATTCTAGCTTTTAAGGTGGAACACTACCAGTTTCCCCGATTGTACACATTACGATGTTACGCCATGTTAGTACCTATTTGAAATCTATTAGCCTTTTACTCAGAATTTGAAAGTAACCTAAGAAAGAAATTAGACGCGTATGTTACTGTATCCTATTACTAGCTGTTGCACGCGATTTCACCTGCGTGCAATTAGAAAACATTAAAAATTTAGCGTATATTACTTATTGATAACATAGCTTTTTAATAATGCAAGAGTTTTTGTAATTGGTCCAGTAGTTTTTGAATTATTACATATATACAGAAATACATTTTCCTTTTTATAATATTAGTAAAGACGACTTCCTCCTATTAAAATGTCTGTTGCGCCAAGATATTTTAATTTGCCTCCCTTCACGTAGAATTTGTACCTATTTAGTGCCACATAACGACTAAATTTATTGCAGAAGTCAAAGTATCATATTTCTGGTTACGATCGAGTTTAGAGCAGATTTTTTTATCTATATCATGAAGAGTTCAACGTGTTAATTATTTAGTTATTATTTTTCATTCGTCAGTAGATTAAAGTTTCCTAAACATTTGTCTATCGCAATAAACAATATTGAGATAATATTATCATATTGCGATTTTTTGTCGGTGACAATGCGATATTTTGCCTTTTTTATCTACAAAAGCGAAAAAAAAATATAACTAGATAATGAATTAAATGTAAACAATATGTTTATTAGTATTCATTTATCGTTGCGATAGATACTAAGTACAAATATAGATGAAAAAATTTCCATGTAGTTTGCATACAAATATCAACCTCGTAAATAGACATTCATCATCGTGATGCCTGCACATATCGGCGAAGAAATTCAAAGATATGTGTGAAGTCATCCAACCCGCACTTGGCCAGCGTGGTTGACTAATGGCCTAGTCACCCCATATTAGGGTAGGCTCCGAGCCCCTCGGTGGGAACATACAGTGAGCTGGTGATGATGAAATAGACATTTATTTATAGCTATACCTAAAGGTTTTAAGGGATAAAATTGTTTAGAATTTTATTATAGCCCCCTTTTAACCATTTGTATTACTAATATCCGCCTAAAGTGTGTTACTTCTATACTATTATAATAAAGCGTTAACACACACTTCTTTGTTGCCTAAGATGTCAGCCATACTTATACTTATACTTACACCATATTTTTGAATAATTCTTTCTTTAATAAAAAGCCTTACACTTGCGTCACGCTTAGGCTATATATTTTCACGCCATTAATCTTAGGGGAAAAATATTTTGGATAAAAACCTTAAAGTAGGAGAGAGATCATAAGTTGCTGCCAACATCAAGGAAGCAAGATTGACAAGGTTTGTCATATCCTGTCATTTTGACATTTGCTGTTGATAATTTCACAAATGTAGAAAATAAAATAAAATTATCACGATTTCGTGCGGGTGCCGCACGGGAACAGCTAGTTTTATATATTTTCAAAAATTATGCATTTTTATATTTTTAAGAATTTCATTGTATAAATTTTAGACGTACTGAAAATCTATGTAGAATTAGACCTATTAGAGTATAAGATAGGCATTCTCTGCAATATAATTGCCATTATTTTCTCTCTTATTAATATTTATACTGCACAGAGTGTATAATTACGGCTTTAAAGCATTCGCACAACACTTGCGAAATGACGAGTGCAAAATCTTTTTAAAAACTCAAGTGCTATCAGATGCGACAACTAAAAAGAAGCAAAGCTAAAAGCTGTGATGCGACTCAAAATGATAATTTCGGTGCAATTTTCTCACTTGCGG